GGTAAACATAAAATCCCAGATGTGGATATCTCAAAACTTTAGTCTGCATGACTCAACATCGTCAGTGATAACTGAGAAAATGGGTTTTCATGATTTGGGCTAACTGACTCTTTACATAGGTGCTTTATTGTTACTGTACCTCCCACACATATTTTCTGAGCTGGTCTACAGATTCAAATATTCCAGTCACTAGCTCAGTTCTGCTTGTAAAACCACCGCCACCCTCTTTGAACTATTGTGAACAGGCTCTATTTAGGACAGATCTCTCGAGAAGCTTTTAATCCAGGAACCATTATGTCTTCACAAGAACTTTGGAAGATAAAAACTCAGAACAGTCAGCATTTAGTCAGCCCATGGAGACACGACTGAGTCACAGGAATGAGGGAAGATGTCCCCAGATAGCGCATGTGAAAAGGAAGAAAAGGGCTGAAACCTGATTGTATACGTGTTGATTACAGAGCAATCTTCCAATCTTCCCAAGCGCTTGGCTTTTCTTTGCCTGAGTGGTCAGGTCACATCTTTTGTGTATGTGTGAGGGGAGCAAAAAAAGGCGCCTTTGAGGTGACGTTGTAGCACCTGACAATGAAAAGTTGTCATCAGCAGCAGCACCACTCCACCCTTCTCCCCCTTTTTCATCCCTTCTTTCATTTTTGCTTTTCTCCTCTCGTAACCCCGAACTCACCAGCCCATCTCCTGTTTTTTGTGTCTTTCCCTCAGGCTCCTCCACGACCAGCAGTAATGGCTCAGACTGTCAAACAGACCGCAATCCACGTAAGTTTGCGATTCACAGTATTTCTGAGAAAATGAGTGTCAGGTCTGTGACTGGGTTGCACAACCAGCCCAGCTGGTGCGTCAAAGTGCTGGCCGCACTTTTTCTTCCACATTCTAGAGCGCGTCAGCTGCTGTCACTTGACTATAAAACTGAAATTCTTCATCACATGTTATGTCTTGTTTTTTATTTTGTCTGCTGCAACTAGGTTTGTCCCTCCTCATCCTGTTGAGATCCTTACAAAGAACAGTGCAAGTCATATAAAGAAATGTGATAGACTAACAACAAAACCCACCATACACTGACCTGGTTGTACTAACACAGCAGTAGTACTGAAGTGACATTCCTATTGGCTCGCACAGTGGCTTATGTAGCTGAACATATTATCTCGTGAAATGGAAACTAAAGATGTTTGTGTAAATACTTTTGGTACCAGCATGATTTTGTGGCATTTCAAGTAGTTTGGAGACCAGCTGAGTTGTACAAATGTGATTTGGAAAGTGTAAACCACTGACCTGCATAACACTGATAATGGACTTACAGTGAAGCAGGAGACATCTTAAACATTTGAGACTTTAAATGGACTTATGTAGAAAAAATATATCAAACACAAATAATTATTCATAACAGAGGATCTTTAAGGCTAATCTGGAATGACTTGCCGTATACTAAAAGTCAGTGATTTACTTTGATGTTCTACTGTACAGTAAATCAACTGTTTATAGGGGCTTGATGTTTTATTGTTTTTTTTTTGTTTTTTTGCTGCCTCTGAATATCATCCATTGTCTGTGCAGCATGAAACATATGATGTTATCAGTACCAAGTGTTGCTGAAGCTCTTTAATGGCCAACAAAGGTTTGATTGAACAAAAAGTTAATTATTATTGAACTATTGAACTGTATATCTTCAAAGTCAAATGAACAATAGCAGTAGACTTAGGTTAAAACAATCATCAATCACCAACCTAACATTTCTGGGTCAAATCCATTATCAGCCAGGAGTAACAGACGCTCCATAGAGGTAAAAGTCTCCCACTGAAAATCACAATTTGTTACTCTTTTTTTTTTTTTTAGACCCAAGTAAAGGAACATTATACCTGTCTGAGGTGGTGGAGCGAAGCCTTCTATCTTTACTCTTCATTCCACTCATAGCCCTTCTAATCCTGTTTGTGTGCAAGGTGAGCTGACTTTTGACACAAGCAATGCAGCTGTTTAACTTCCTGAGGAACTCTGGAGATATGACTGTTATTTGCTGGCATGCAATATTTTATTGTCTGGAGATAGGGCTTTGTTACATGGAATTTGGTAGCATCCTTTCAAGGGTGTGGTAATGTTCAGTTGAAAGTGAAAACACTAACAATGACTTCCTAACCTGAAACAGGTCAGGTCACGCAGGCGTGAGGAGGATCTTCAACAGAATCCTGGAGAAGGTGGACTTTTCACAGGAACAGAAGGGACTGTACCTACACTAGATGCTGAAATAACAGAGAAGTAAGCTATTTTGCTCCTTCACTTACATTTACAGCTAATGCAAAGCTTCAACAGGAAACTGCTCCTCTTTATGTAACTCACTATCTGTTCACACTGCAAGCTGTTTCTCTGCAACCAGTGGCTGCAGACAGCAGGAGAGTGGTTTTATTCAGTGGTCATCTGCTTTGGTATGAGGCATAATCACATTTTAGCTTAGTTACATTTTTAACAGAAAGCCTCTGTCACTAAAGGTTTTGAAAGAGTGGGCATTTACTATGCAGAAAGATGCTATGAGGTTGCACTATGGGAACTGTATCCACCATTTTTAGAGCTTGACTCATACTGTGTCCATACAACAGCCAGGCTTCGCTGATCTATCAGCTGTGTAAGAAGTGAATAGACCTCTGGTGACTTCTTGATGCTGTGTTCTCCCGGTGTCAAGCTGCTTGATGAGCCTCAAAGTACTAATTCATTTGATATTCTGGCTTTCTATTCCTGGAGCACAACTGCCAGAACCCAAAGTCTTCCCATATGTAGTTGTGGCGGAACTGAGAGCTGAATGCTGTACTTGACTTTTGTAAAAGCCCTTTCAGTCTCCATACAAGAGCTGTTTCGGCTTCTCTGTTTTGCTGTTGATATTGTAGTACAGTGTCCAATGCACATTTTTCTGCTCAATTACAGAAGCATGTTGAACGTCATAGAAACGGTGTAACCCTTCAACCACTTGATGTCCATCAGCATTATTGGTAAGACTCTTCATGTCACATTGATTTAAAGTGACAAAATCTATTCTTACAGTTTTCAAAACAGAAAGAAAACATTGCCTCACACTGAGCTCCACTCCTTCCAATATTTTGCTCTCCCAGGGCTCTACTCTTTTCTCCTGTTGGTGTCCAAAGGTAATGAGAAACAAACATGAAGCTGAATTCCATCGTTAGATGTCAGAGGCAAAAGGCCTGGTTTTGACTGTTCTCAAGATTCAAGATGGAAGACTGACAACTGCCATGACCAAGAATTATCTGTTTGAACCACACCTGCTACCATATGGATAAGCTTGCCTTTCTTGTGCACACTGCATTAACCCCATGCTGTGACAATTGTGCTGAGAGAAACCCCCCCCAATACCAGGCCTCCTCTGGATTCTCTGGATTCTCTGGCTCCTGCAAATCATTTGTCAGCACCTTCTACAGCCTGCCTGTGTTTCTGGGCCCTCCAGTTCATCTTCAAACGGGAAAGCAGAGAGTGACTGACACTGGTAATCTCTTGTGTGAACTGAGACATGAATTTACTACCTCCAATGACCCTCATGTTAACCACATCCTTAACTGCTCTACAGCTTCTCTTAGTCTGGGGTTTCCCAAAGAATATAATGTTACACATTCTAGTTCTGAGGTGTAGTCGCGTTGTCTGGTTTAGCCATGTACCATCGGGGGGATATGATGTATTTATTTATTGGTGGTAGCACGGAGCTGCTGCTTTTCATACAAACTGAACTGTTTAAGTGATCATTTATGAGCACCTTTACTAGCGGGTCACATTTAAAGGACAGTCTGCATACTAACACGTTATAAACCCAAAAACACATTCCTGAACAAGTGACATTTCCTTGTGTTGTTGTTGTTGTTGTTGTTGTTGTTGTTGTTGTTGTTGTTGTTGTTGTGTTTAGTATATATGACTTGGGTGATTTAGTTTGTGTGAATGGATTACATGAAAAAACATAGATACAAAGTATGCTGCGTTGACTAACTTACATTTAGACTATTCCTATTTGCATTGACATTCTGCTAACAAGTATCAGGGACAACTTCCAGGTTTTTTTGTTTGTTTGTTTTGGTTTTTAAGCAAAAAAGTGAATGATGCATTCTGTATGGTAGGAGTCAGACACATGTAGGACAATGATGGGCCTCCCATATTAAATTTTAGCTAAACAATGCCTTTATTTTCACTTATCTCGCATTTACGTTTGCAAAGCAGAAACAGTTACTGAAGAGATTTTTGAAGGTCCTCTCTCTGTGAAAGGAAAGAAACTAAACAGTTAAATTTGTGAAAGGACAACAGAGTTTGTTAAAAAAAAAAAAAAGATAGCATTTGTATATTCACTTTCTACTGCTCAGTCCCTGAACGGGGTCACGGGGGGGGCTGGAGCCATTCCCAGCCGGCAATCGGGTGAAGGCGGGGTATACCCTGGACAGGTCGCCAATCCATCGCAGGGCTAACACATAGACGAACAACCACACACGCACTCCTATGGGCAATTTAGAGACACCAATCAACCTAAGCTACATGTCTTTGGGAAGAAGCCGGAGTACCCAGAGAGAACCCACGCAAGCATGGGGAGAATATGCAAACTCCACACAGAAAGGTCCCAGGTGGGGCCTGAACCCAGAACCTTTTCATTGAGGCAACGGCGTTAACCACTGCGCCACCATGCTGCCCTTTGTATATTCAATATAATATAAAAATTTTAATTAAGTGATGAGGTTTTGACTGTTCATTCAATGAACAAATAAGCTTGCAAATCAAACCCACGAGCTTAGACTGCTCATTCTCACCGTTTCTTCTGTTCCTACTGACTATGCCTTTGTCCAGTATCAGTGTTGTGCTTACATAATAAAACCAGCTGTAGACACTCTGACAAAGATAGTTAGTGCATTTATCAAGAGTCAAATTGTGGTGAAATGCTGAAGGATGATACCACTGGTTATGAAATTTACAGACAGACATACTAATTATTTTCACAGTCCACAAAGTTGACCATGTGAATGTCTTGCAGATCTAAATATTGATTTTGCCTTAAAGTTGCACCATAATACACTGTTGAAGGAAGAGCACTGTCATTTCTTCACATACTGAGCTGCTGCACATTGGTGAAGCCCAGCCCCAGCTTGTGACTGTCATGTATTGCAGACACTCAGGTCACAGAGGTAACTCCTCCGCTAACCTGTGAAACTGATACATGTTGACTACTTTTCCTGGACCCGACCGGATCATTTTTTATTCTGTATCATTAGAAAACTCTGTGAGCATTCGAGAAATACCTTCAAAATTTACGTGAGTGTTGTCAAACAGCGGTACATGGTTAAAATGGCATCTGTCAGTTTCACAGTAGTTACTCTGTGACTCAAGTGTATGTAACACATGACAGGCAGAAGCTGGCATTAGGTGAAACCCCTTCTTTACAGAAATATGGTGAGTTCTAGAATTGTTTGCCCCTGAAATACAAAAAGAACATGAGGAACAGGAAATCATTTACTTGTGATCAAACCCAAACAGTTGTCAGTGCCTGCAATCACAGAAGCTCTCAGGCCTGTTCCATTATTAAGTCAATGAGCCCCTCCGTGCCTCCTCTCCCTGAGGGAGTCTCCAATCTGATGAGTTATAGTAGGAACTTGAGGTGTTCCCTGTCTCCAATCTTATCAGCGTTGTGACAGGAAGGGCGATGGGTTCAAAAACATACAAAGAGGAGCTGAATCCCACACTTTGCCCAAACACACCATAGAGTAGATCAGTAATTTATTATAGATGGTTATCAAGGTTATTAAGAGAATAAGTAAAGGGGTAGGCCTGTGAACGGGCAAACCGGACAATGACAGAAGTGGCAGGACACAAATGTCTGGTTCGGTGTGAGTACTTTCATCATGTCTGTGGTCTTAACATTGTTCCATGTCCCTTCTTGGTTTTGTGCCTTGTTTGATTAGTGTGATTGACTCTGTGTGTTTTAAATGTCAGAAGCCTGTCCATGTTCCTGTGTGGTAGCAGACAGTGGAGTGATCATCACAGGGCAGATTACAGTAATCTCCCCACAACAACCCAACACAGATGTTCCTCAGTCTCTAAAACAAAATCAAAACCATGACAGATTATTCAGCTCAACTGTTCCCAGTTATGATTTGGAAGTCAATGTTATGGAAAAGCAAAGCTTCAGCATGTGAAACCTGTAATGTCAGTGGTTGTGACATTTCTGTACACACGACACATTTTAGCCTTTGTAAACTGAAAGAATATTTGATTCATTCAAAAATGCATCTTTAAGGAATACTGAATGGCAGTGTGTTACCTATTCTTTATGGCAGTTTAGAGCTGACTCCATTTTATACCACATTGGTGTTCATATAGTCAGTACAGTTACAAGATCTGTGAAGTACTGCTATATTTAGGCTTTTAACCAACCGTTTCTATTCAAAAATGCATTTTTGAACAACATTGGAACATACTACTGTATCTGTGACAGTTTAGACCTGAAACTTTCTTTTGAATAACCTTTAGGTTTCACTTCTCTACATGAAGACTACATGCACTGCCCAGTATTCAGACAGACACAGCTAACAAACCACAAATACTTTGTCAAAGGTAATATCATGAGAGCCTCAAAAAGTCTGCATATCTGGTTGAAGCCAAAAACAAAACAATATAATGCATTAGTTGAGGGAATGATTACCCTTAAATACTGTTCTTATGTGGGTTGTTGTGTGATCTGAGGCCGAGCAGAGCTGCCTGCATCCTGAACACTGCTTCCCAGTTCAAATGATCCAATCAACCCCACTTCAGTGTGTAAATCAAATGGCTCTAGGCAGGAAACAAGTCTGGGTGCCAAAAAGCAAATGTAATTATTGCCCGGTTGGTATTCTGGGTGAAACCTCTACTGTATTCTGTATTTTTGTAAAAATGTAAACAAACATATATGAGATATGAATAAAAGTACACTTATCCTACTGTTCTTTATTGGTTTGTTTTTGTTCAGGAGGTTTAATCAATCTTCTGTGCAAAGTGGGACGGACTCAAACTGTGGGTACTTTGTAAACAGTTCTTTTGGGCAATATACTTTAGCTGCAGACACTAAGAATGACTGTAATTACCCACGTGCATCTTGGAAATAAATCTGTTTTGAACTGCATGCGCGTATTTGAGTTCACCAGTTCAACCAGTGTGGACCTGATTTCAAGAGGAAAACCACTGTATGGTATTTTTGAAATGCACAGTACCAGTCATGTTTAGTATGTCTTGCCATAGGTTAGAACTGGACTGAGTGCATCTGATTCTTGCCTGCTGTCTATGTTTCAGAAATGTAAGGCTTTTCAGCAATCACTGTTTTTTAAAATCATATAATGAGAGCACATAATGTTCTTTGTAAGATCTCTCATCCATCTTCCTGCTTTTTTAAGGTAGATTAATGTTCTTAAGTTGCAAAATTCTATTCCCTAAATTGCACTGTGCTCCAAGGATAACTTGGGAAAAGCTGAGGAGAATCATGTGTTGTGTTTCAGGTTGATAATAAATAATAACAAAATGTTCTTTCTTAAAGCCCGGGCAATCCCATCTTGCATTGAAGATTTCAGCTTTCTAAGAAGAGGATAGTCATAAAATTGAAGTGTTCCCATGACCATATTTTATTAGAGCAATGACAAAAGAGGGAGTATTTGACCTTGAGCCTTTTGTCTATGGCCACTTCCCAGTGCTGCCAATATCTCACACTTTGACCTTTGACCTTGAGTATGTCACTGCTTTTATGCAGCGTTTAGCACATTCAATATGAACAAAAACAGAAGCCCTCCTTAGTTGTGGTTGTTTATCAAGAAAGTATGAATTACAGTACACACATTCCCAACTTCTGCTACATCTGACTGGATGAATACCCCACTTAACTGAGCTGTAACTGGTCTTTGCTTATAGTTTTAAAACTGCAAAACTGTACAGACTGATGACAAATGAAAGGACAAACCTGAATAACTGAGAGGTCTCCTCCAGGATGACAGGGCCCCCGTCCACAGGACACAATTGATCACTGACTGGTCTGATGAGGATGACCATGATGTGAAACAGATGCTGTGGCCTTCCCAGTCACCAGGTCTCAGCCCAGTTGAACAGCTATGGGGGATGTTGGAGCGACGTGTTAGACAGCATCTCCACCACCATCATCAAAACAACACATGAGGGAACATCTGGTGGAAGAACAATGTTCATCCCTCCAGGAGAGTTCAGAGACTTGGAGAGTCGATGCCAAGGTGGAGCTGTTCTGGTGCACGTGGTGGCCTAGCACCTCACTGAGACTTTTTATGTTGTTTTCTTTTCATTTGTCATTTTTTATTTGTCTACAGCAGCTGCTTAACAAACTTTGTAAAACCCTATGAACTATATACCCATTCCATTTTAAAGTAGATTATACTTGTGCTCATTAGTTGTAGTCTGGCTTTGTGAGGCTGCTCTGCTGAAAATGAAATGTTGTTAACCCTGTTTTTAGAAAAGCTTGAGGACAACCCTGCTTACTTTGATGGTATGAATCAGAACAACCTTGTGGGCGTGATGAGAGACCATCTATCATCGTTTCTTGGCAATGCATCAACTGAATTTCTCTCCAAGGTGTTCCAGACTACTTTCTTCTTGACTGAACTACATTACCCTAACATGCACACACAAATGTATTTCGCATTTTTTCCCAGCACAGCACCAAAGTGTTAATACTCATGAGTACTTCTTCCCTTGAGTGCTTCACAGTGGAAACATTTTAATAGATTGGTATCACAAAGACTCAGAAATGCTCAATTTAACACCTGGTGACTCAGCAGATAAATATTTAGGCATAGGCACTCACTTTTGTTTTACTTTGACAGTAGTTTGGGATTTCCATAAGACTAGTTTCTCACAGACTGTTAACTTTTTTACGAACGCCAAGGACATACATCATAGTGAGTGACATTATGTGTTTGTCTTTACTATCATGGAACAACAGGAAGGCCACAAAACATCCATTGTTTATAGTCACGTTTACAATTGTCTCACAGTGAATAGGTAGAATGACACGTAAGTGCTATGGAAGACGTGACATAAATGGTAAAGTCAAGTGACCTCAGCCAGTGTTATGTAGGTGGATAACATCAGCAGTTTCCCAGGGTCCCAAAAGTGTCTTCCATCATGCTGTGCCAGTTTAGGGAATCTCACAGAACAATCGGCTGAGAGGGCACTCCCATGACTATAAGTGATTCAGCTTAACTAGTTTTATTCTGGCAGTGATCACAGCTCCATGACTTCACGGGCAAAGCCAGGGGGTGGCCAGGGGGGTGCCACCCCCGCCTGAGTCAAAATGTCCTACTTGTCAGTATTAATAAATAAAAAATTAAAAACAATGACAAATTGTTGCCTTACATACAACTAACATTTTTGGGTGCTTTATAAGTGACATTGGCCA